CAATAATATTTTACACATTAAACTACTAGGTACAGTATGTCCGGCGACACTCCGTTTTTGCAGTGTTGTGTGTCCGACGGTACCGATAGGTTTGCGTCCACTCCGCTCATGTCTTGCTACGCTGCCGCTTTGCCAGGTACTTTGCGGTGAGGTGCACCAAAGGACAAGTGAGAAGCTATCTCAGCCCTCGGTCCGGCAAGCCTACCAAGCTGCACTGAGTAACGAACTTGTGTTGCCTTGCCCTTGGACTATGATGTCGGTCGTCTTGCACGAAGCTGGAGCATTTGCTTGTGTTACTAGCGGTCGTCCCCGCACCAATCAATGGATATCCGAGTGGTCGGTGAATCTTTTGGAATCCACACGGAAAATTCCGGCTGGCTCTGAGCAAACGTGACCAGACTGACTAATAAGCGCGACATAAAGCAGAGCCTGCGCGCTGACATGCAAGCGTGAGGAACTAGTCCGGCTCAAGAAATGGAGGAGGCAAGAGCAGTAGCCGACTCCGCAAACTATTTCATCTTCTCTGCTCAACTGGTACATGGAAACACGGCATCAGTGAGACAATCCGAGAGGAGGCGGTTGCGCTGGTATACAATAAGGAGAGTCGTATGGCTCGATGGGCATCACGCTATCAAGGTCAGTTCAACTGGGCCGTTGCTCCCCGACACCTTCAAACTCAGGTGAGGCAAGACGAGCCATGACCGGTTAGCTTAGAGCGTCTGTCGGAGGCCGAGTTCCGAAACGCGAAAACCGCCCACCAACCTTTACGTGCCGCTGTCACGGAAGCCCTCCCACCTGCACCATTTAAGGATGGAGGTTCGGGCCACTGCAAAGTACTGACCTCACCGATGAAACATGGATGGAAGGACGAAACCGTCCCTGCTATCTTGAGTGAATCGATCATAGTGGCAATATAAAAGTAGGGCGGTAGCACCAGCTGTGTTAACCACAAGCATATTGGCCTAAAGCCAGTTGTGACAAAATTACTGACCTCAGCTCTTTTTCGTCGCCTCACTGCGTGACGGGAATCACGGATTAGGGAAGAGCAGTCAAATTTCCGACCAGGATGTGGCTGTATAGACCATAATTCCCTCTCCGGCAGGTGAAAGAGCAGCGTCACGCATACTGCAGTCCGACAATAGCTGTGCACCTCGATTTCAAGGGAGCGTTCGATTCAGTTGATCGATGCATTCTTTTCGAACTACTTGCGCGGAAAGATGTTTCCACGAATTATGGGAACATCCCTTTGCTCTATACGCAAAATTCCAACTACAAAGATGTCTGACTGCGGTTGTAACATATTACAAATTATGGGCCATAACTGCAGACGGGTACTAGGGAAAAGTGACAGCTTATTGCTGGGCAGTTGCAACAGTGGCTTTTACGGTGGTGGTAGACTAGTTCGTTAAAATTGCGTCGTAGTCGGGCTGCTAGTACAACGTGCACGAACCGTCTGCCGCGGTTAAAGCATTCGGGGCAATGATCAGGTGTGGGCATGGGCGTGCCGGAAGATGCCCGCATCTAGGGATGTAAACGCCGAAAAGGACGCAGTAAGTCAAGCTTCGGAACTGTGAACTTCGCTTCTAGACTGCCAGCTCGGAGAAGTTGTTCGAGAGTTAAATCATCCGAAGGATACCTTGTATTGATTGACATTAGTACAACACATACTCTGAGCCCGCCGTACAGCAGAACTTCGTACGGTATTCAGCGCTTACGGCAGAAGCAATAGCCGCTATCGCTGCAACAGACAATTCCTGCAGAAGACGTAAGGAAGAGCTAATATCAACTAGCTTCCGAGCACGCAACTCATCCTGCATATACGCTCAGTGGTGAAGCTTAACCATACCGCATAAAATAGAATATGGTAAATAAATGCCGTAGTACACAAAAATGAAGTCAAGTTCAAGGGAGTTTATTATTTCAGCGTACGGTGCGCTGGAAACGGGATCTAGAGCTGTAAGGACGCTATTTGAGCTGTTGGTTTTCCCATTGCAAACGCTGAGGTTAGAAAGCATGTGTACCGTTAGCGAAGCTATTGACTCACGAGGCCGTGATAATGGATGTATTAAAACAAATTAATGCAGCGTATACTAAAGCGGTATAAATGAGAAAACGTAACACTTGGTTACACATTTATTTTGCATCACAAAATAATATATATCTCTCACGGTAGGCGTGAGGTGGTAAAGTGCCGTGTATTGGTAAACACTAATTAGAAAACACAAATTTCTTTGGGAAGTTCACCAAAATCAGATTTCCGTGGTTTTTGTTACGAAGTGCATCGACGGGGCGGTTACCTTACGTTTCGTATACCGCACCTTAATACACAAACATTCACGAAATATGCGCTTTTAGGTTTCTCATATTCAGAGGTTATAAAACTTTATGCTCATTTGTGGTTTAAAGGTAGAAATGGTCGATGAGTAAGTGCTAACTGTTTGTTTTAACAGTTGGAGTTTCGATCTCCATAGCTGTTCGGCGTCGCAATCCAGTTTTGTCACCCCCTGGACATTCTATCAAGCATATAGGTAAGATATTCAAGGCTCACGTAACCAGATATTGTTACTCATTATTCTTCTTACAGTAGCTTAGGCAAAAGATCCAGTTTACAAACCAGACTCCTTTATGAAATCTACCCACGTCACAATCCACTGAATAGGGAATTTTATTCCAGAAGTCTTCGAGTTTGTAGCTAGAGAGCAAGAGGGAAACCCTTTATTAACCCAGCAATTCCGTATCATACTAGGTTTGATGCGTGTCAGTGCTCTTCTGGGGTTCGTCGCATTTGCAGTGACATCCGCAAGATTCCAGCATTCTCAGCGAATGCTTATCAAGCAGCTGCTTGTACCTTTCGTCGGATGGCACGTCTGCACTTTCTTCCGGTACGCTGTTCCAATCATCTACCAGCAGTTGATAGGCTGACGTCGATGCGAATTCTGTCTTCTTTACCTAAGCAGCTTCCATGTGTGACCTCTTGTGGAACAGTTTTGGGCCGGAACCATTGTCGTAACGCACTTCAATGTCCCCATCGGTGGGTGCGCCTAGGGTAGATGAGGTCGTCCCGGCGACGACGAAACTCCAATTGATAACAGATTTAACTGCTAGAGTCGAATGGTGTACGGGAGAACACGAAGCCGAAGAACACCTTACAATGCACATCTCTAAAGCTTTTCCATCCGTGCGCATGCAAACTTTGCAAGCGGATGGATAGCGGCTGGGCCATTTTCTTGGACTGGACAGACGTACGAAGTGAAGCAAGTTCGAAGAATCTCAGGAGTCATTCGAGCGAGTAATCTTCTTAAGACACCTACTAGTCTCCTTCCATTGGCCACCTTCAACGTGTTCTGCCTCTTCTTAAGGTTAAAAGTCACGATAACCACGAGATCTCTCGTGAGTGGTGAATATCCGATCTCGTGAGACCAAGTTAAGCACGGACATTGCTTATAGCGGGGTCCCAAAGGACCCGTTCCGTAAGAGCACAATCGAAAGGTCAGGAGTGACGAGTCCGTCTCAGACTGTCAGCAGACTCTCAGAACTTTGTGACAGGCTTACTCAAACTTAATTTGTCCCTTGACATATATCAACAATTGCTACGGATAACTGTTTGCTGCGATAATTTGGTACGAATGCAGTCGATGTCCTTGGCTTTTATGCCGAATACGTTTTAACAAGCCCTGATAAACCGACAGGCGGTCGACTGTCTGAGTTCCGTCTGCTGCCGGATTGAAATCGATGTGTGAACTGAAGGCTTAAAAGTCGGAGAAAGACGGATTATGCATACGCAAAAGCCTTGCCTAGCAGTCTTAGTCACATTGCTAATGATCCTCTTAGGGTAGCTCCTGCGCAATACATCACTGTCCGCACAGATGGACGACCAGCCGTCCCGGTTGGGCGTGTTTGGTCACTCGCAGACGCAAGAAGTTTATAAATAAATGGCGTGCTCTGTCCAGATATGCTGTCAAATAAAATTGTTCATTCTTAGCTCCTCCATTCTTTACCTAAAAGACGTTATTTGCTTAAGAAAATCGTAGTTTCAGCGCTAGGGGCAATTGCAGCTTCTCCAGGACCAACTTTTGTGCCCTCTCCTTTCCATTTGGACAATCTTTTAGGAATTTCGTTCACTCAAGAACACTTCCGATTTAGCTTAACGATTAAAGTATAACGTAATTGCAGTTTGGCTAACGATTTCGACTTGATGTTGATGTTAGTTGAAACTAGGAAAAATGTATACGCGGTACATGACAAGGGTGCTTTGGGAAAAACATTCTGAGCTTCCAATTGGGACGGTCAGGGAACTCCATCAGTAACTCCAGCGGACACTTTTTGGTCACTCATGCAGACATGTTTTCTACTTCTTAAAATGGTGTTTTGGGACACTAAAAAGGGGTTCCGTAGGTTTGTCTAATATCAGATGCTGCCTGAACAATCGCTAGCGGATGGTAATCAATAGTACGGGGGTATGGGGATCGCTGGTAGACTGCACTGCAATTTGTATTCTGTCGTAGCTTTTTTCGGACAGAAATCCGTCACTCGGTGGATACTTGCGCTCACCGGGGAAATGTGTGTAACTGGTGATAGCGGCGCGACATGTGGGGACAGGGTAATATGCGGTGCCTTTGTGAGCATGCCTCGCATAGCCAAGAATAAAGTTTAATTATGTATTTATTTAAAAATTTTCTGACAATCCGGTGATCTTCCGAAACCTGTTCACTTGGGACTCTTCTGGCTGGGCGGACTTTCATGCTAATAGGTTGTTTTTATTTATAAATGATCTAGCTCCACTCCTTGAGAACACAATGTTTAAGTGGACAGTATAAATGTCGTCAGTCATCACTATCAACATTAGTTCAGCCATTTAGGATGATGCTTTGCAGCCGTACAACTACGATGACCTAAGGAACGAATACAATAAGGGAAGATGGATCTAGCGTAAAACCTTATTGCCGTTAGCAAACATTCAAGATCAAGGCGCATGCACCTTGTCCACAGTACCGTCACAAACAACTGGCCATCGTGCAAAGATAGGGCGGTATCAGTGCGACAGCTTCGTTGCGGTTTTATTGAGCTTCGTCATAATCATCGATTATCTGCAGCTAATCCATTACCAAGCACAATTGAACAGGCAGTCCGACTAGGAGGCAGTAGCAGACTCGTCACTGGAGCCTACTGCGAGCCATATCCTGTCAAGTTTTCAGCCAAGCACAGGACGAGACGGACCAACGGCACCAAGTTTTGCAGTCAGTGACTTCATTTCACACTGGTGAGTTAATTTTTGTCCACTTCGAGCCTTACGTCACCGTATGTCTGGCAACCAGGACGAGGCCCTCTTCTGTAAGCGATGACCGGACGTACGTAGTACGTGCCTAACCCACGCAGCCTATTCATTGCTACCTGCTCTAAAGAACTAGCCTGATTACCACTGCCTAGTACTCGCCTGCGTACGCTATCGTTGCGGACACGCTGGTGCCATCCGACACCAGCAATGCGCGGGCATTGATGCTCAAATACTTGGAGGGGCCTCAGACAGAAGAGGCTGTCCCACTTCCACAGAGTAGCAAAACCCTTTCTGACCTCACAGATGTCGCAGATTCAAGAAGGCGGTTCTTGCTTTTACAGTACTTGAGCTGACTTCAGTGTCTATGCGCTAATCGTTGCTGATACAGCCGCCAAGTTAATTTAACTCTTCAACTACCTTGTTCCTCGCTATCATGGATCAAGTAGTCATCAATTGTCCAGTGGACTTGCAACAGTGCTTTGTACTTCGAAGGTACAAAGCGCAAACCTAATAATGAGACCACTCCAGAGTTTTCAGGGTTGACGGGGTGGGCTGTCCCAATATTGTTATAATCAAGATCAACTGTCCACCAGCCGGTAGCTTAACTCCTGCATCGTGACTTTCTGCGGGAAAACACTCCACCATGGAGCCCACGACGCAACTAAACAAAAATGAGGAAATTGGGCAACTCTGACATGTCACTTGTCAGGAAGATATGCGACAGGCCACCATAGACCCTGACACGGCCTGTGGTGTTCGAGTACAGCGCACGTAATGTGGTGCGACGGTTTGCGTACCTCATTGACCCATTGAGCTATACTGGGTGATGCCTCCGAGCATCTTGAGAGCTACTCCTACCAGGTTGGTCAATGGTGAGAGGTCAGACAAACTCAGTCTCCTGGTCCTCCAGGTTGTGGGTTTGAAATGGGATGGCGTCCATTTCTGTAAAACTAAATCACTGCCACCCCGCTGCCTTGCGGACAGGCTTTTGAGCCAAAGGCTTTGGATGAGGACCCTAATCGTTCTTCTGTCTAGGTCTGGGCGCCCTGGCAGTATCCCAGCCCACATACAACCATGACATTTTCTTCAAACATAAACTTCATCCTGCATCGACCGTCACGCAGATTATCAAGGGTCGCCTTATCTGCTGCATACAGCAGGGCGGATAAGCGAAAGCATGCTACTGCTGGCGCCTCTTCTTTCTTTTCCACCTTTTTCTCTTACTCCCATCCCGGCCCCCATTACTAACCTTCCTTCTATAATTCCCAGCTTAATTGACAGCAACCGAAGTGCTACTGGAGTAGAACCATCCGCAGCCACCATCCCACAGCACCTATCGGACGCCTATCGGCAAAAGTTCCTTATAAGGCCACGCTGTCCCGTTTCCATGGCGACATTCAACGTTCGCACTCTAAGACAAACAGGTCAGCAGGCTGCACTCGCACGCACCTTGGACACACTGGGTGTTGATGTGTGTTGTGCCCGAAACTAGGATTAATGACCCTAACGGGGTTATTGAATTGACTGCACCCGGCTTATCCTCTCGTTATTGGTTGCACGCATCCGGAGACGCCGATGCGGCACTCACGGGTCAAGCTGGTGTATCATTCTCAGCCCCAAGGCTGAGTCATTGTTGGTTGATTGGATTCCGGTGAACAGCCGTTTATGTGCAGCCCGTTTGACGACATCAGCTAAGGTGAATTCGCGAAGTAAAACAAAACGCTGTTTGTGATTTCTGCTTATCCTCTCACCGACTGCAGTTCTAATGCTGTCAAGGACACTTTCTATCACGAACTGAACACGCTGCTACACAGTGCTACTAGTTCAGATATTACAGTACTTGCAGGGGATATGAACGCACAAGTAGGGCGTCTGAGCTCTTCAGAAGCTCAGCTGGGTGGTAAGTATGGACTTAACGCCGAACGGACTGACAACGGCGAGCGTCTGCTGCAACTGTGTGCGGTGCACCAGTTGTTTCTTACTAGCACTGCTTTTAGACACAGTGGGCGCCGAAGTGCCACTTGGCGTCCACCTGTAGCTGGCCAGCGATGGACCCAAATTGACCACATAGCCATAAGTTACAGGTGGCGTGGTTCCATTCTGGATTGCCGCTCGTACTGGAGTACCTGTGTCGACTCTGACCATGCCTTGGTGCGCTGTCGTTTCTCCATGAACTTTACCGGAAGGCGCACAAAGCGTCTCCCCCGATTGACAACGGAAAAAATTGTCCCAGCCCTCTGTCAGGCAAGCCTA